TTTTTGGCCAAGTTTTGAAAATTAATTAAAAATTTTATTTTTTTTAAATTACATACCTCTTAAATCAAGCACTAGAAATTTATCGTTAAATTTTTGGACATCGAATTGACTTCTAATTTGATCCGCTAATTTGATTCTCGTACCCCTAACTACCGATATGCACTAATTTAACTTGACTTATTGTGCATCCCGACTCGTTTTCTCTTCACTAGTCATGCTCTGAAACTTAGCTAACACCCTAATTATCACCAGAACACCTACACACGCATTCCCTACTATCAATTCATAGTTCGAAGCCCCTAATCGCACATGTACACTTGCTTATGTCCTAATTATTGCTCGTGAAACACCAAGTTGTTACAGTATACCAACCTTAAAAGAAATTTTGTCCTCAAAATTTAACTCCATTTCACAATTATATCCTATCATGACATATTAATTTTACATAACTAGTTCACGAAAATAAAATACCTACCTCGTACCACTAAGTATCTCGATTTTATCTTTAGCATAACTACACACTCATTGAATCATGTTCACTTGGTTTCCACTCGATTGTTCCACTACGCTATTGTTGCACAACTCTAATAAAATACTCATCATATTGGTGCAACCCCAATCACAAAAACTTATGTACAAATCATCCTTGAAAGTCATCTCCAATAAAATCAAAGTTAATCCACAAACAAATAGATAAATTACCATAGGTAAAACCTTTGATATGATAAATCTTATGTTCGTCAAGAACCAATGCCACCAATACCCACAAGTTGTTATTCTAAATAACTAAACCTAGGACAATCTACAAAATCTCAAATATATGCTCTGATACCAAACTGTAAAATCCCGACCCATTTCTAGAATAACATTCAGAGCGCTAATCGCCTCCATAGTTATTAAATAACACAATCTCCAAATAATGAATAAACTCTAATACCAAATTCATATACATTTCAAACACCTACACCTAGTCAATTATAATTTTCACATATCATAAATAATACATTATTTAGTTATAAACCCTTACTACAAATAGTCATACAACTCAATGTTTATAATGTAGTTCAAATAATCATGGAAAAATCATGGAATAATCGGTAGTTCGAACAATCATAAACTTCCATGTCACCTGCTAATCTAAAAAAGGAGAAATATTGTGGGATAAGCATCAACATCTCAGTAGAACAACTCAATTTTCAAACTAACGAGTTTTAAAATAACATAGTTTGGCATGATTGGGCAATATCAAAACAATTCATTTCATACATACATAATAGGGCATAAAATATTGAAGAAACCAATTAAGTTGAAAACAACAATACGATCATAACACCAATATAGTGTTTACACCTGTGGGGGATCATCCTAATAGACTACTGGGGCTCCATACGAACATAATATCTAACCTTTTGGGGGACTTTCACCCTGAGGAAGATACGCTCCCTAATAAAAATTCGGTACTCAAGTTTGGAGACTAATAAGGTCACTCAGACATTTATGAACTCAATGAGAAACCCTTTATGACCTCAACTTGGAACGTAAACCCTTTGCCACTCGACTGTTGTACACTTACATTTAATTTCAAAAGGATCATGGAGTTCCATTAAATACAATCATTGCGACCATTTGTGCCAACCATATTCAAAAATCCTAATTTGAGTCCAAATCCAAGTCAATATTCAAAACACCTAATCATATATTTAAAAACATGCTAATTAATCATAAATAACATATGAAATAATTTAGAAATAAGTTGGAAAAACAAAGCATGTTCCGGAATTGAGAAACCCTACCAATCTCGATATTTTGATTTGAAATAGCAAAAAATGAAAGTGTTATTTTTTGATGAAATTCAACCCATATAATCCATTTAACTAATTATAAACAAATATAATTTTTTTTTGGCAAAAAAACCCCAAATGTTGGGTAAAATTGGTCCTAGAGGCCAAAATAGTCATTTTACTCCTTATTTTGATATGGTTGTCAGATCGACTTGAAATTTTACCAGACCTCCACACGGACGTTATGAAAATTTTGGCATTAACTAGATGTTGATTGGACACTGGAAACACCCTCATATGCTGTCGGGGTCCACTGGTGTACCTCCGCCACTTCATCTTCTTCCTTTGGCCATTTTGACCAAAACCCTAGGTTCTCCGTTGCAGCTCCAACTACCCCACTTCTCTCCTATGTTTCTCACTCCACAATATACCATTTGCTCTATTTTCATAAGTCAAACACTCATCACATATCTTCTTTAGATCCCCATAGGTTTCTAGCTTGGAATTAAGCTTAAACCCCTCCAAAAACTAGGTCAAAGTCCAAGAAAAATAAGGTTTTTAACACATGGCCAGACCTACAACTTCCCTTTTCACCCCACAAATGACCTCTAAAACCATTTTTGAAGCCATCAATGGATTCCTAAGATCTATTTTAGCTAGGTATAGCCATTCTTCGAAGCTCAAACATCACAATCATGGAGATCAAAAACCTCCATGGCCAAAGCTTCACCTCACCTCCAAATCACCACAGGCTATAGCCAGCCACCAAACCACCTCCTAACTAATCCTTGAACCCCCCTTCATCAACTCAACCATATAGATTAATTAAGCTAAAATAAAAGAATACATGAACCCATTTCATGAAAATTAAAAACCCAGAACTTTAAAACTCAAATTCGGGCATAACCACTTACCTAAATCAAAAACTAACACCACCAATGAATTCATACATCCTAATTAGGCTAGAAGTATACCTCTTGGTTTTCAAAGTTGTCTCTACAAGAATCTGAAATTTGAAAGTAAGTTTTCTCTCTCTAACTTCTCTTTCTTCTTTTCTTCTGTCTCTATCGTTTCTCTCATCTCCAAACCTACCAACGACGAGTTCAGGTCTTCTCCAACCAGCTGGGTGGAAGTCATGCATCAAGGGAAGCTCCAGTCGACACCTTGCAAGGCTAGAAGAATGGAGATGCTTCCAAGGGCACTTTGATATTTTTTTCCCCTTTTTGCCCAAGATGGCGACAGTTATATGACAAGCTTTGTGAGCCTGAAATATATTGTCATTGATAAGGACTAATAGTACCGAAGACACATTCGGCTAATGCATATGATCCACAAAATTCAAACAACCATGAAGAGATCATAGCAAGACTTTAAAGTGAAAATGATCAGATGTAACGTCGACTTTATCATTTTCATGTAATCGAGTATGCAGAAATTGAGCATTTCAATCTTGACTATGTCAAGATTAAAATTTTGGAGGATCTGTTACTTACTTTTGATTATGAAATTTCTGATTATTCCGATTTAAGTGATGATGCATTTGATACTTTTATTCCATCAAATTTATGTGTACTAGGTAACCCTTTATGTTGTTTTGAACAACATTCACATTATTGGCAAACTGTATTTTGCACAGTCTCACGTAATAACTTTGTTTTGTTTAATGTATGTGCATGGTTTATACACTTTTGTGGGTCAAATTCTATTGTTCGATGAACTTATGCAATGATTAGGAATAGTCAATTTGTCACAAAATTCATTTACACACACTACAACAAAAATTGTTTGTTGCGACAATTTTTTTCGTCGCTAAATTAAAAAAAATCATCGCCAATTATTTTCTGCGATGTTTTTTTTTCATCGCGTGTTCGTCGCAATAGCCTCGTTGCAGAAAGTATTTTGCAATACAAATTTATTTTCATTGCAAAAAAAAAAATTTTCGACGGAAAAGACGTCGCTAAAATTTCAGTAAACGTAGCTAAAATATATTTCACCAGCGTAAAAAAATTAAAAATTAAAAATTAAAAATTTAATTAATTTTTCACGAGGTAAAAAAATTGTAGCAAATAATTTTTTACATAAATAAAAGTGTAAAAAATAATAATTTAATTAATTTTTCACGACCTAAACAAAGCGTCCCAAATAAATATTTTCATAAATAAAAAATGTAAAAAATATTAATTTAATTGATTTTTCACAACATAAAAAAATCGTCGCTAATATTTTTTTACATAAATAAAAATTAAAAAAAAATAATTTAATTAATTTTTTGCGACGTAAACAAATAGTTGCAAATAATTTTTTTAATAATTAAAAAACATAAATTTAATTAATTTTTTGCGACGTAAAAAAGTCGTTGCTAATAAGTTTTTACATAAATAAAAATGTAAAAAAAATAATAATTTAATTAATTTTTAGTGACATAAAAAAATGTCCCAAATAATGTTTTACATAAAAAAAAATGTAAAAAATATTTGAATAAATACATTTGTGATGTATAAAAATTGTCGCAAAAAATATTGTTCATACAATTTTTTGTGACGATTTTAAATTCGTCGCAAAAAAATTCAGAAAAAATGATATTTCAATAAAATTTTTGTCATGTACACCAATAATACCTGTGTTCAATAAAAAACTAACACAATTAATACATTTCACATCTTTTGAATTCAACATACATTTCCTTTTTTTTTTTTTTTGAAAAATGAAAAATTTTATTGATATAAACCAAAATTACATGAATCAAAGTAATCAAGGATTTAACAAAACAGAAAAGCCACAATTGGCTTTAATCCTTCAAAAATAAAATTTCAACAAAATTCTTCTTCATATGTCAAAAGTGTCCAGCAACATATGCAGCAATCTGTATCAGTCACCAATTCAATGCTCCAATCATCTCCCATCACCATAGCACAACATCACCATAGCTCTTCAGCACCATAGTTCAACAACTCATCAACGTAAAATAGCAATGCAACACAGCAGGAGCATTGCAACACAACATACAACACCTCTTAGCAGCAACTAAGCACTTTACCTCCTCCCAAGAGTCTTCGTCAGCACAGTAGTACAGTCAGTACAAACAGTACATTAGAAACTGCTACAGCTTAAGAAAATTAACCACCATCATCAAATACCAAGCCAGTCTTGGTTCCTCCTTTCAAGACAAATTTCTTCCTTAATGTTGGCAATAAGGATTGATCCTATTGTAATAACAACCTTCCAACCACTGGTAACACCCCAGAAGCAGAAAAATCAGAGCTGCATCTGGACTTTACAACATAAGAGGCAAGAAAATTAGCAATCATATTAGCTTCTCTGTAAATGTGTTTTATCCTTACATTCAAACTACCCATGATAACCAAAATTAGATCCAAAAGCCCCTTATATCTCCATGGAACCCCAACATTCCCCAACACCATCTCAACCAACACTTTTGAATCAGATTCATTGAGAATCTACTTCATTTTTAAGCCATACTGCACCACCAGTTTCAAACCATCCAACAGAGCTCTACATATTTGTGTGTGTGTTAGTGCGAAGATCCTAAGATGCAGCAGCCAAAATGACATGGCCTGCATGATCTCTTAGAACCATTCCCCCACTTGATAAGCCACTCAAAGTATATTTGGGTCAAATGGGAGCCATGTCATTTTTAACGGAACCACTTACTTAACAATTCAATTAACTTTAAATACAAGCCACAGGAAAGTAAACATGACTTCACAAAGTACCTTGGACTTGAGAATCTCATGTTCATTCTCTATTGCATCTGAAGAAACAAGGTCCTTTGACAGAAATAAAGGTTTTGCTGCTACAACATGCATTGCCAATTCTGATCCAACACGCTGGAGGGCATCCAATGAAGCATTCCGATCTTCTACCTCAAGGGATAGAAAAACAACAATACTTCCCACACTTGAAATGACAAAAACACAACTAAGAGGCATTTGCTGATTCAAGATGCTAAATTAAGAACGTGTTCCAAATGTATTAAATAAAACGTTTCCAAGAAACACACATGTATAAATAGATGCACATATATATGCATGTCTGAGAGAATATGTTGCATGCTCTAATATACTTTGATATCACAACAAAGTTAGACTATATCTTGAGATCAATTAATAAATCTACACTATACAGACTGTATATCAGGCATCTTCTTTTGAACATCATCATAAGTAGCACGACCAACTTTATGATGACAAAGTCCACAACAGAACAATGCACAGCTATGACATCTAGCTCTACATAAAAATCAAGTAGTGAAAGTTTCCAAGAAACAGAAAATAGCAGAGCCCATATGTTATTTGGATTGATCAACCATTTTTTGATCATTAACAAATTACTCTTGACGAGACTCAATCAAATGCCAACTCACCTTCTCATTCAAAAATTTTCCTTTGGTAGACGTAACTTCAAGTTTTCCATTGTGCTCAATCAATTGTTTTTCCCAAGGTTCTAGTTTAGCACGAACCTTTGCTAGCTCACCACGGAACATCTCAGTTTCAACTGTTTCTCAACCGAATAAAATAAAGGGACAACATTAATTCTCCTCAGAGAGCAAACATATTTATCACACCCCTAATCCAGAAGCATGTGAAATGAAATTCATAGCAGCTTTGATACTTGTATCTTAATTGTTTACACTGAAGAAAATACCTTTGGAGTTCTCCTTAAGAAAGAGTTTTTGCAATTTGGGAATGTCTTCCTCCAATTGGGGTATGAGATTTGTTGACTCCTCGCAGCCCTTTCGAATCTCAGTAATCTTTATTGAATCCTACAGTGGAACCCAAGGTAAGATACATGCATTAGTTTCAATACAAGTGGAGACCAATTGTTCCCATACCTTGTCAACTTTCTCATCGAGTTTCTTGATCTTTTGCTTCATGTGATTTAAATCTTCACAGTATTTAACATCCTATCTTTCATACTCCTTGAATTCATCCTTGCAACGCCTAAGTTCGCTATCAAGTTCCTAGATTTGAAAACAAAAGTAAAGAAATATGTTTCACTATTGAGTTTGATCTTGAGCCAACTAGCATTAGCATGTACGAAAAGGATTCTAAGACAAGGCATGCATATTTTAAAACCAAAAATTTAATCTTACAAAAATTTATTGCAGCCAGCTTATTGGACAACAATACATCCAATATAGCACTCAACGAATACCTGAAAAACAAGAAAGTTTGCCATCTACAAAATAACCATGAAAGATTATCCTAGCAAAGGCCAATAAACCTATAAACCCCACACTTTTATCTTTATATATGTATATAGGTATATATAGCAAGTAATTATTACTTTTGAAATGTTAATATGGTAAAATTCGAGAAAATAGTAGTTTAAACTTAGTTTTAGCTTGTAAATATATGAAATTATTATAATAGAACTTGTACCAACTAGGTTTGATGTACAAAAGTATGTTGTAAAATTTTGGGTTAGAGTTGGAAGGGTTTGGAATGAATTAGAAATGAAAAATAGAGGAAATAGGCAGAATCTGGGGATTTTCGACAAAGCGTACCGGTACGTGTATCGGTACGTCGAACTCCAGAAGCCTCAGCATACCGGTACGCGTACCGGTACGGTACACTCTCCAGAAATTTTTAACCAGTACCTCTGCAAATTCCTTGTTAAAAAAATCCGATCAAAGACAAGTTATCTATGTCAGAACTAGAATATTCAAAAAGGTTAGTCTATGTTTACATTACACATACTGTTAGCTTTGAATTTGCTCATTCATCTCAAAGTTCTTGATGTGATGGAGTGTTATTTCTTCTTCCTCTAGGCTCTGGAATGGAAGAATTGGGTTAAGTATCAACCCCCGCCTTCTTTTTTCAATATCCTTTTTTGGCCCCTACTGAAGATTCAAAAGGCGAGTACACCCTTGATCAACTTTTATGTTCCCAATATTCCTACCCTTTAGAGAGGTTTCAAAAAATAGCACTCCTACGGAGAAGTTTTGGTGCAAAAGAACAGTTAACTACGATACTATTATTGAACTATTTTTTTTTTCGACTGTCAAAGTGTCCAAACCAATTTACAAACACTTTAATCCAGACTTTAATGACCTACTTTTAGTCGGACCAAAAAGGTAATTAACCATATTGAACTATTTACTAACCATAAAGAAAGGCTTTTATTACCAAAAGTTACTTAGTCCAGATGTACCGACCTAACTAATGAAATAATTCAACTCTAACAATTGTAAGGAAAAAAAGCGCCACAACCGAAGTATCGTGGGGAGCGCCATTACAATTTTACTCATCAATATCAAGATCCTCTATTTTTACTCAATTTTATTTGACTATAGATTATTCACCATGTATGAGTGGGTTACCTAATTATAATAATAGATCTCTTTTGAATCTATGATCAGAAGATGATCTACCTTTATATGAAAATTTGAATAAAAGTATAAAAAAAATCTAAATTTAAATATATATATATATACATATATATATATATATAGAGAGAGAGAGAGAGAGAAGTGTGAAACAGTCGAGTCTCACTGACTAATCCGATTGCTTATCAAGGAATTTTCTATTAAATGAGCACCTATCAGAGCTCTCAAAAATACCTAATACAATCACACTCCAAAGTTTGTTCATGAATAATGTCATTAGGACATAAAAATTTAATGTAATTCACTAATATAATAATATGTTAAGTGATAAACTCTCAATGAAAGAAATTCAAAAGTTACCGTCAGAATAACATTATTATTAAATTACTAGTTATAACCCGTATTTTAAGACATGATAAAACATAAAATTTGAACGTTCAAAAAATCGATTCCACTTATTTAAATTTTTTCAACATGTTTATACAATTGCATAATGTTTGAAATAAAAATTACATTAAATTATAAATTAATTAAATAATAAATTATTAAATACGCGATAAAAATGAGTGATGTGATATTTTTAAAAAATATATAGAGAGAGAATAAGAATTCAAATTATTATATTCTTTATTATATAAATGTTACTGTCACATCATTATGTTAAATTTTTAGCTCTCAACGATATTATTATTTTTTGTTCATTCAATTATTCAAGTCTAATACTCTGTTTGGTATGATGGAAAAATAAATGATGAAAAAAGTTGAAAGGTTAAAAAATTAGAGGAATAAATAAAACATCATGTTTGGTAAAGAAGGAAAATAAGAAAGATGAAAAAGTGGATGAATTAATTTTTTATCCTATTCACCAAAATCAATCCCTCTAAAATCGAAAAAAAAGTGGATGAAAATTAATTATTTGTGTTAAGATGAATTTTATTTGTCTATATGTCTTTTGATATATACATATATATTATGTATATATTAATTTCATATAAAAATATAATGATAAAATATATATTTATATATATATATATATAACAACATTTAAAAATAAATTAAAAAAAATCAAATATAAAATATAAAAATCAAATTTTTTATAATAGAATGTTACCGTTAAATTTTTTATTCAAAGCTTATATGAATTAACACGAATACGACACGAAAATAAACAGGTCAACTCGCAACTCGACACGACACAATTAATTAAATGAGTTGAGTTAAGTTTGACTAATGTTCCACACAAACCCGTAATGACTCAACACGAATCTGACATCACACAACATGACTGAATTATCACTCTTAATCTTAGTCAGTACAAAAAAAAAATTAATCATTTTTATTTTTTATCTATCCAACTAAATACAAAGGAATAAAATTGTATCTTTTTCACTTTCTTTTCTTGAAAGATAGAAATTGCATTCCTCCTATTTTTCATCGCTCCATGCGCAAGATAGCACAATTAATTATTAGTCCTCAAAGTGAACTTTTAGGGGTTAACCAGTTCAAGATGCCACCAAGCAAGTAGCCTAACAGGTTCTCAGAGTGCCTAAGATGAAAAGAATTTCGAGTCTTGAGTTTTGCGAACAAGGTTTCAACTTTCAATATCATCCTCATAATATCATGTTTTTTCTTCGTAACTGAAAACCGTTGAAACGATTCATCTAATTTTGTAGACTCGCGATTACAACATAAATTAAGACCCACACAAACATATGGATGTTTTTTGTTACAACAAAGTTTAAGAAAGTTGATGGCATGTATCTATAATTGGACTGTATTGGAGAATCATTTCCATAATATCTGCAGAAGTTATATTGGCTAAGTAGAATTATACTAATTACTAAAAATATGGATGTACACAGATAGGTGAATAGATTTGCAGCTAGCAAGTAGATACGATGTTCAACGATGTACTTAACTTTCTTGTGCACCTTAAAACATTAGACATATTTTTCACATGGTCATAGTTATATACTAATCCGAGGTAAGATTCAATGCAGACTCAAAACTATCCATACCAATCATTTTGAGAACATAGCGAGGTTTTTCTGGGTGGTTTTTTGTTTCCAGTCAGTGTCGGTTTGTCATTGCCTGAGAAGACTTACTACAAAACTATGTATTCATTTCTTCGTCTTACCCTGGTATATATATTGTGTGTGTGTGTGTGTTACCTAAATTTTCAGTAACATGCACAAGCTTCTTATGTGAGTTCTTCATCTATTTCTATTCTGGATTGACCAAGGAGATCGATAAGAAATTGAGACAACAATAGGTATGCAGTCAAGAGAGATCAGAAAACCCTAACCCAGAGATCGTACCTTAAACTAAGATCATGGTAGATCTTGTTGATGATCTGCTTGAGCAACCAGCTAAATCAAAGCTCTGGACAATTAATATGAACTGGAAACAATTATTGTGAATTTTTAAGGATTCAAGTTCAACTAAAAGAGGATTCATTCATCTCAATATTTCAAATATAATAAAACAAAGATCCCATCAATATGCACTCAGACAAGATCCAAACAAACAATGAAAACCCACACGAAACAAGCAACACAACACAACAAAACCAGAGAGAGATCTGGGTCTGGTCTTCCTACACAGAAAACTAAGAGTCCTGCTCACGATAATGATGCCTTCTTACCAGCTGTCTTCTTCAGTGACCTAATAAACAAACCCCTAAACGACAACCCTTTTAATCCAACGATATATAGCACTTTTAGAGACGGAAAAGGAGGACACCCATAAACGCAGAAAGCTAGTCGTAGTAATAAGAACAAAAGTCATTTGCTTGATCTAGCAAATGATCGGACCAAGATGCTTGATTCCCCAAAAAAGATAGCGACTTTATCTCAAGTCTTTGAAAGAGAGAAGACCCCTTACTTAACTGCTTCTTCTTCTTCATCATCGTCAAAAGACTTGTTCATCTTTCTGATCTTTATATTTCTTTTTCTTCTTTGTCGTCTTTGTTGGTGCTGATAATGATGATACTTTAAGGCTGTGGAAACAATGATGAGGGTGAAGAAGGTAAGGTGATGGTGTTGCAGAAGACATGATGATTGCTTTTGGGTTCAGGCGTTGAAAGAAAAAAAGAAAAAACAGGCTCAACGTTTTTCGTGCAGTCTCTTTCTTTCTCCTCTGAGGGTTTCTGTATTTCTGATGAGAGAGAGAGAGAGAGAGAGAGAGAGGGGGGGAAGGAATTATTGTCAGTGATGAAACTCAAAGACCTTTTACAATCAATAACTTATTATGTTGCCAGGCTCTCCACCTCCACTCTCTTCCATAGCGCGTGTCAAAGAATTGGGGGTGGCCATTATCCAGCTTCTTTGTTTAAAGAATAAATCGAGTTCGAAGCGAGTCCACATGATTCGAATTTAAATTGAGTCAAAGTAGTACAATTATTATACATATAAATAAATCGAGTTTTGTAAATTCTAATCGAGTCCAAATAGTGCCGCTAAACTATCAACCCAATATTTTACAATAAATATTGAATATAACAATGAAATTACATTAAAATTATCATCTGATATTATTACTTAATA